CCTTTATGTCTAAAATTTAGACAATTAAAGAGAGATAATATAGTGAACAGTCTGTCTCCTATACACATTCAAAATGTCACTGTGCAATTTGCTAGAAGACATGACAGCAAGAATATTCCTGGAATATCTGAGTCAGAGCTGGAAATGATGAAATAGTTATGATGAAGTCACTGCACTTCTTCATGTTCTTAGATGCTTTTTCTGTTTGTTTGGCCATTGTAGACAAAAGGGTATATTTGTTTCAAGAGAATTATGAAAGGTACAAGGAAGTTAAGAAGTGCCCAAATTCAGAATTTACTATGGCATAAGAGAACTAAGCATTTGAAAGTCTGAAGAAAAATAGAGTAAATTAACCATGTTATTTCTGTTGTGTGTGTTTTGAGCAGTACCTCTCCAAATTTGATATGGATAAAAATTGTTGTAGGGACTGGGGAAAGTTAGAATGAATGTTCCTAGTTTAGCCCTAATCTCAAAATTCAGCCAAGGAATCTATATTTTTTTAATAAAGCATCTCTGTTGATTCTAGATTAGACCCAGAGAAAACACTTTTAATGTATTAAGATATCAAGAATGTATTTAAGACAGCATGTGAGTTGAATTTATTCAAAACTTAAAAAACACCAAGGATAATTAGAGAAACTTGGTCTTCATTCATTTTTATTGTGCCTTTACCCTTATCTTTTCTGTAGCTACCTTCAGACCTCTGCTCACATATTATCTTCTTACTGAATCCTTCCCAACATACAAAGTTTCAATCATCCACTTCCCAGCTTTTCCTACTCATTGTGACTTGCTTACCATCCAGCACATTATATATGTGCTTGTTTATGTTTTTTGTCTCTCTCTCCCTACCCCCTTCATCATAGCTAAGTCTATAAGGCAGGATTTTATCTTGTTCAATGTTGTATTACCAGTGCCTCCAATGGTACCTGGAATGTAATAGGTGTTTACTGATTTTGGCATAAATGAGTAAATGAATAAAGGAATTTTTGATCATCATTTTTGCTTTCCTTTCTGACTTTAATGATTTGTGAGAGTAATTTATCATAGTGAGATATATTTAAAGTGTTCCATATGAAAAAGGAAAAAAAATAATTGGAGGAGATTTTTGAAGGAAGGAAAGGAATTCACTGTGAATGTCTTTCTAGAATCACTGAGATCAAACTAGAAAGGATGCTGAATCTTCTATTATATATAAGAAAAAGAGAAGTTATGCAGACCAAAGGAAAATAGAGAGCCTCCCATATAATTATATTGACAAACCTAATAATATATTTTACCCTAAAATGGACATATTGGTTTGGTCGATTTTGAAACAGAAGTAAGAGAAAATAACAAAGACTATTAGAGACACTTAAAAGTGTATATCAAACATTTATGGTAATTAAGAAATTTGGATCATGATGCATTTTTAAAATGCTTAAAAGCTGGAGAGTAGAAATGTTTAACAGGAGTTCAACTATGCTATTTTGGATACAGTCAAGAGAAAAAGGAATTTCCAAAAATGTGTTTTTTAGGAACACCATATTCTTTCTAAAGGTTTTCAAATGCATGCTGTTTTAATATTTTCTATTATATTGATAGCTTTGTAAATTAATCTTCTTTAGCCCACTTCTCTGTACCTGAAGATTTTTTTTCTTGGTTTAATGCATTTCTTTAATTGACTACTATTCCTTGCCTATTTGCTTCTTGTTGGTGTCATTACAATTTTGCTACAGCTCTCTGTTGAGTTTACCATTTCCTATTATTGATTTCCTGTAAATTTCTCATCACAGACCTTGTAGGAGAACACCATTGAGAAAAGTACCTGGAAATTATAACAAATATTTTACAAGTCGTTTCCCAGCAGAATCTTTTAGATGGGATATTTTTATGATTAGAATTAATTTATCATTTTTTTATGTCCCATCTCACATTCTTATACTTCTTAAGTGAGTGCTCTATCCACCTACTAAGACTTCTCTAATTTATATGTTCTTCTTATCTTTCTAAATTTCAAATACTAAATAACTGACTCAGCTCACACGCCTACATATTGGTGACTGTATTAGGTGAATATTCACACTGGAGTGTCTGTCTGTTGTGTAGGTCCCAGAATGTATAAAGAAACACAAGATTGAGTGGTGCATCATGGAGCCTATAATGTTCTCACAAGGATTTTTTTTTAAATTTTTACAAAGACAGAAAGAGAGCAAAGCATCTAAGAAATTAGGGATGAGGAAGGTACAGAATAAAACTGAGGACTGATAAAGACATGGGATAAGAATAAAAGTGTTTCTCATCATCATACTTTCATCTAAAAGTGAAAATCAGTTTCTTTAGAGAAATAAAAAATAAAGGGATATACCAAATTAAGTTTACATAATATTTCTTTTCTAAATTACTCTTTTGTGATAGCTTGTTATAAACTCCAGTTTTGAATCAATATTCATATAAATAAAATCCTGTATTGGTTTATATAGAGATTTAAGTTTATCTAACTCAGAAAAGGAGCGAACTAGATTTAGAGAACCTATTCTCTCAGGTTCTTCACCTACACTTAGTTTCTACATTCATGAAATGCATACTCTCATACCCTTCATTGGATATTCCAGTGATAATTCATTTTCTATAATGTGCTCTGAGCTCTTTTGAACAAATCTCTAGATAAATGTAGCCTAACTTTGATATAACATTCTAGCAATGTTTAGACTTTCTTAGGAAGTCACAAGCTGTATGAAAATTTGGGGAAAAACCAGACAGGGTCTCATAGGGCAGAGAAAGAAACTTACTTGAAATACCATACCCTTCCCCATCTCTTGAATATCCATATTTATACTTCCTGTAAGATCCAGATAAGGACCCACTTCATCTATGATATTCACTCTGACTTACACAGACCATGATGCTCTGCCTCTTACACAGTAAGTTATGTCTAATGACATTTATACAAGAATGCTTCTTGTATTGTTATAGCAACATTCTATATGTGTGCTCCTCATCAACATCTATAAGACCATAACCTTTTTCAGGGGGGTGTTTTATGCTCCAAGAGAATAGTTAAGGGGTATGAGTATACAGTAAAAAGTAGGATACCTACCTTGGACACATGGTCTTTGGAGGATTTTGGAAAATGGTTATGGTGCTAAAATATTGGAGTTAGCCAAATGCCCCAATTACAATGAATAACAAATAAAATGAGGGTGGATTTCACAGAATAGTGAATTTAATCTTTATATCCAGTGAAACCCTATAATGGACTCAGAAAACAGCATGGAGAAGTGCAGCATTTCAAAAAAAATACCTGCCAAGACTTCTAAAAATGTTGCTCTGTCCGATATACCACCATGACCATCTATATACATGTAGACAAAACTGAGGAATGAGGGCTAGCTCATAACTGGCTAACCCCCAGGGAGCATTTCCACCTCTTGGAAGGAGCCACTAGCCTGTTTCAGGACTGTAACTTTTACCTGCTTTGGTCTATCCATCATGTTATCAATGACTTGGTTAGCTGAAAACATATATATATCATGTTTGTTTCTTAATGCTGTAATGAAGCAAATTTTGGGAGCAATAGTGAATATGAGAGATGTCCAAATCAGTATTCAAAATCTCCTAAGACCTTGGCCAGGTGGCTAAGTCAGTTGGAGTGTCATTCCATACACCAAAAGGTCAAAATGGTACGGGTTCTATCCCAGGTCAGGGCACATACCGAGGTTGTGGGTTCGGTCCCTGGTCAGGACATGTACAGGAAGCAACTGACTGATGTTTTTCACATCTCTCTCTCTCTCTCTCTCTCTCTCCCCCCTCCCTCTCTCCCTCTCTCCCTCTCTCTCCTTCCCTCCCTCCCTCTCCTCCTCCCTCACTCTAAAAATTAATAAAAAGGCATATACTTGGATGAGGATTAAAAAATAATAATGATACAAAATTTTTAAGAAGCTCCTAAGAGATTTTAAATATGGGTAGTAAGTGTAAAGATCAGAAAGAGACGACCAAAATATCTGACACAGTTTTATCTTGCATCATTAAGAACATGGCACATAAATTGGAGAGGCAATAGTCCTGCTTTGTTCTGTACAGGTAGCAAGTGGATGATTTCTGTAAACACATGTTTAAAGTCTGTGCTCCAGGAAATGAGTGACATGGAACATGTCAGAACTTGAAACTAACAGAATATGTTTAATAGAGAAGACTCTTCAGAGGAATCATTGGATCTGTAGGTATCTAAAGATGTCACATAAAGGAAGAATTATTAAGTTAGTTTTAAAGGGCAAAATATGACCCAATGAATATGGACAGGCAGACAGAAAGAAAAAATTTTCCAATAACTAGTTCTCTTCAAAAAGAAAGTGGTTTCCTGGATAATCCACGTGGAAAACTCATTTTGTCATCCTGAAGTTCATGGTGGTTACTAAATACATAATTATTAAACCAAATAAAAATTTAGCACTTTTTTCTCAGTTTCATTAGACGTGATCCTATACAAATAAGATCTGTTGATTAATAAGGTTCTGTGTTTCAAGTAAACAAACTCTTTTGAAATGGGCAGCTCATGCAAGTACTTCTTGCCTCTAGGAAGCTGACCCACTAGAGGCTGCAGAGGAAATGGCAGGGGTGATGGTTGTATAATCCAGAATATTTCACTGTGATTGACATATTGTAAATACTTTGGTCTTGTTAAAGGAAACAGTTTGGCAATAAATATTTTATAAATGAAAATGAAATAGAAATCATCAAAATATGGACCTAGTGGTATATGAGAGCATCACTTTCAATTTTTAAAAAAGTAAATATAGGTTATTGGAATAAGTGGTTTTCATGAATAGAATTTCATAAAATGGGTCGCTGAATCTGTGAGAAAGGACATGCAAATCTTTAATGCAAAAATGTAAAGGTGGAATCTTTAAAGTATCTTACTGCCAAATAAGAAACCTGCCATTCTGTTTGTATTTCACACAATCCTATAATTTTTGATGTGTGTAATCAAGATACATTTATTCTTCCTCTGCTTATTTTAGGGTACTCTGAATCCCTATTGTGTGTTATGGGATGACTCAAAAACGTAAGTGACAGATGTTTTCTTATATTACTTTGGACTAAATATTCAAAGCATATTAAGTTATTTTAGCTGCCTGCTAGTCAACAGGAATATGAAAACTGAGTGGGATGTGTGTTATACTCGAAGAGGAAACATTCTCCTTTTTGAACCTGCAGGACAGCATGATGAATGTCTTTGTGTGTGAAGATGCCATCAGGTTATATCCTAAGAACTGCACTACCTAATGTGTAAGGCATGTTGTGATGTGAATTCCATGAGGATTTTTTAAAAGCTCTAATATTTTAAAATTATAGAAGCTCAAATGCTATTTCAAAATTTTGCCTGAGTAATTCAGTTTAGCACTGCAGAATAAAAGAGCAATCTCTATGCTCATTTAGCCAATACATTACTTGCATGACCTTGAATCTATTATCACAGTAATGCAATATTTATATAGCCCTTCCGAATTGTTTTGTTATGAAAAACATTGAGTGACATTTAATTTTTTTATTCATATATTTTATAAATTCATGAAAACAAAAGAAAATAATTGCAATAAATAAGGATGAATGATTCTTTCATGTATTCCTTTGTATAAGAAATTGCAGTATATCCAGTCAAAATCATCTTAATCTCATGGGTAATTCTATAAATTTTAATGTCTTGAAGGGAAGAAAAATTCATGAATAAGTCTAAGTTGGACTCCTATACTTTAAATACCTATGCAACTTTATTTCAGTGTAGTAGCAAAGTTTTATTTTGTTTTGTAAGGAGGGGAGATAAATATCAATAAATCCCAAAAGTTTATACCACCATGGCAGTATGCTGTCAGATAAGGCACCATGTAGTTGTCTTCTATGTATTCTAAGATTTTTACCAGGGTTCTTTTCCCTAAATCTGATCTATGTTTGTTTTTTATGATATTACTTGTTTCTGTCCTGCCATTATTGGAGAGCCTAGAAGAGGGATATTCTTAAGGTTTTTAGGTAAACCTACTAACAATGTACTCATTCCTCAGATACTGATGCAATTTAAACTACAGTATTTAGGTGGGTAAGAAATCAATGATATGAAGCGTATTTTTACCATAGATTCTGGTATTTTAGTGAACCTTTTCTATGAACCTTAGTGCCAAAAGAACAATCCCAATGGCCCTGACGATAATATGAGCTGAATGTCCTTACTGATATCAGTATATTTTCTTTTTGAAATCCTACAGAGAAGTCCATGGTAGTAAACTTTATGCAAGCTTTCTTCTTTACCAGTAGCCAGAGAAGAATTGGCAGTATATTATAAAGTATTGTTTAGTACAATACTACACAAATATAATTGAATGCTTTCTACTCAAGAAGAGTATGTCATTTTACATTCCTGATTATAGCTACTTGCACATCCCCATGAGTCACAACGAACTTCGATTTAGTTTTATTATCACGTTAGTTGGTAGAGTGTGCTTCCCAAACAGGAGAAAGTGTTAGTTATTCCAAAATACTTTTAGGACTGTTAAAGGGATACTATAAAAAGAAATAGCATTCCATTTTGGACCTGTCTTGGTTCCTTTCACAAGTTGTCTAAGATGTTAAATTTAGTTTATTAAAAAAATTGGCGTTTGAGGTTAGCATTAACTTAAGAATCAATCAAACAGTACTTTCTCTAACATCTGCTGATAACATAACTCTTATCCATTACAAAGAACATGTCTCAGCTTTACAAAATTTAAGTGTTGAGTTGTCCTTGAAGAAAACTATTCCGTGAGAGGAGGTGTGTTCAGCTGCCTTTCAAAGCAAGTTATCTCAAGAGATCAGGCATTTCATGTTTTCTTGATGTATCTGGAAAACGATCAAAAAGGTTTCTGCTGAGACAGAACTTCTGTCCTATCTCCTGTCACATTTTTTACCAGACTGTTTCATCATTAAATTGTTTTTCTGGGTGAGTTTTAAACAATGAAGGTTAAGACAACTTTATTTCCTTTCTTCACATCTGTTCTTTTTCTTTGATCATGTTCATGTGCACAATAGTTTTTATCGATGCAATGATTTTAACTTTCAGTTTAAGTTTTCCAACTATAGTTAATAGTGAGAAGATCTGAATACTTTTTATACAGAAAAGAGTTGACTTAAGTGATGTTTCAAGATTGTAGTTATAAAGTTGAAATTAAAAGTTGTCTTTTAATTTTGGTGTGAATTATCAAATTGTCTTACTTTTAAATTATTTAAATTAATTATTAATTATAAAAGTAGTACATGAGTAACCTTTACTTGTTAAAATTTAAAACATAGCGGCTAAGGCAAAAGGCCCCATTGATCATCACCACCTCAGGTCTCCACGGCCACCTTTCTCTGCAAGGTCACTTCTGTTTATGTTTTGCTATGTATAATTTTAGGCATCCACTTATGCATTGACATGCGTTTGAAGCCATAGAAATTAACACTATTTTATTATCATTCTGTATGTAGCACCTGGCATCCTCAATTTTTAACATTAATATTTAAATTTTTTCCTTTTTAAATGTTTTTTAACTTAAATTTTATTTTTTCAATTACAGTTTACATTCAGTGTAATTTAATATTAGTTTTAGGTGTATAGTATAGTGGTTAGACAACTATATATTTTACAAAGTGTTCCCCCTGTTATTTCCAGTACCAAACTAGCACCATACATAGTTATTACAATATTATTGACTATATCCTTTATGCTGTACTTTACATCCCTGTACCTATTTTGTAACTACCAATTTGTACTTCTTCATCCCTTCAGCTCTTTCACCCCCAACCCCTCCCCTTTGGTAACCATCAGTTTTTTATCTCTGTTATCTATGTTTCAATTTTGTTTTTCTTTTTTTATTTTATTATAGTTGTCCCACTTCGACCCCCCTGTTGCTCTCCCCTGCATCACCCACGCCCCTTAGATTCCACATATAGATGAAAGCATATGGGGTTTGTCTTTCTCTGTCTGACTTATTTCACTTAGCATAATACCCTCTAGGTGCATCCATACTGTCTCAGATGAGTTCATTCTTTTTGTGGCTGAGTAATATTCCATTGTATATATGTACCACCACTTTTTTATCTACTCATCTATTGACAGGCACTTGGATTGCTTTTATATTTTAGCTATTGCAAATAATGCTGCAATGAGCATAGGGAGTGCATATATTCTTTCAAATTACTATTTTGGGTTCCTTCAGACATATACACAGGGGTGAAATTACTGGATCAAAGGCAGTTCTATTTTTAGTGCCTTGAGGAACCTCCACACCATCTTACACAGTGGCTCCACCAGTCTGCATTCTCACCAACAGTGCACTAGGTTTCCCCGCTCTCCACATCCTCACCAATACTTGTTTGTTGATTTATTGATAATAGTCATTTGACACATGTGAGGTAATGTTTGGCCAAGGTTTTAATTTGCATTTCTCTGATTAGAGATATTGCATATCCTTTCATATGTCTGTTGGCACCTGTATGTCCTCTTTGAAATGTCTGTTTTGGTCCTCTGCTCATTTTTAATTGATTGTTTTTTGAGTGAGGGTATTGTTGTATGAATTCTTTATCAATTTTAGATGTTGACCCCTTATTGGATATATCATTGGTACATATCTTCTCCCATTCAGTAGGTTGTCTTTTCATTTTGTTGATGATTTTCTTTGCTGTACAATGCCTTTTTATAGTTTGATGTAGTTCCATTTATCTTTTCTTTTGTTACCCTTGCCCAGGCAATCTCAATTTTTAATTTAACCATATATTGTGGAGATTTCTTTAACATTTTAGTACATATATTTTATTCCTTGTACCTGCTGCATTCTATAGCAACATTGTAATTCATCTACTTTACTCAATATTGATGGTATTGAAGTAGTTTTCAATTAATTTCATTTCATAAACTATGCTTCTCTGTACCTCATTGCACATCCCTCCTTGAGGTTGTCTCTGATCACTCAGTTCAAACTGTTACCCTGTTGTTCTCTTTATATCACCCTATTTTATACTCACAGCATGTATTCCTACTTTCTCATTTATTTTTATTTGCTTATTGTCTGTGTCCCTATTAGAAGGGAAGCATCGTAAGAGACATACTTTATCTTATTCACTACTGCATTCTCGATGCCGAGTACACCTGCTCATAGGGTACATTCAACAAATATTTACTGGTTAGTTATATACAGGAATGAATTTTTGAATAGTTCTACATTGATCATATTCATATACATAATACTTTTATCAATGCAATGATTTTTAACATCTTTGTATTTAAGATTTCCTTTTACCTTTATTTTTATTAGTGACTTTTTTTTATGGACACGGTACCTAATCAAATGCTTTTCCCACATCTATTGATATGATCATGTGGTTTTTTTCTTTCTTTTTGTTTATGTGATATGTTATGTTTATTGCTTTGCAAATGTTGAACCATCTTTGCGTCCCTAGGATGAATCCCACTTGATCATGGTGTATGATCTTTTTAATTTATGACTGGATGCAGTGTGCCAATATATTTTGAGGATTTTTTTTTTGCTCTCTAGACATGTTAATAAGAGGATTTATTCTTTTTTAATTTTTAAATCATGTTTATTCTATTACAGTTGCCTCAATTTTTCCCCCTTAACCCCCTCACCCATCCCATCCCCATCCCCCTCTCCCACAGTCAATTCCCACTCTGTTGTCCATGTCCATAGGTCATTCATACATGTTCTTTGTGTAGTCCCTTCCCCTTCTTTCCACCATTATCCCCTTTCTCCATAGCCTCTGGTCACTTTCAGTCTGCTCCATGTTTCCATGCCTGTGGTTTATTTTGTTCGTTAGTTTATTTTGTTGAATAGATTCCACTTATAGGTAAGATCACAGGGTATTTGTCTTTCACCAACTGGCTTATTTCACTTAGCATAATATTCTCCAGTTCAGTCGATGTTGCCACAAAAGGGAGGAGCCCTTCCTTCCTTCCTTCCTTCCTTCCTTCCTTCCTTCCTTCCTTCCTTCCTTCCTTCCATCCTTTCTTTCTTTCTTAAGTGCAGATTGATTTTATTT